ATACATTTTTGATTACTGGATGTAAATTAATTAAGTGCAATTTTTGTCCCTTCAACTCCGAAAGTTTTTGCCAAAAACACGTGTATTCTTAGTCCGTATTTTTCAGGATATACAAAAAACAACTGTCCTAGAAATCTTGAGCAACAGCTTCAGTTCTAATATATCAAAAGTTTTATCCCAAGCGAATCATTATTATCCCAAGAAAATCTGCAAAACGATGTTTACAGCTGGGGCGTTTACAGAGTGGGAATGCTGTGAAATGAGCAAACGAAATTAAATATAACTATAGTTAATATTTTCCAAAATTATTCATTGATAAAATGTTAACATATTAAAATAATCCACTAGATTCCTAAACTAATTACGAAAAATAATGTTTTCAGAACCTACCAAAATGATTCTATTGATTTAGGCACCTATTTAACTCCGCCTGTCGTTCTGGTATTCATTACGCATCATATTTAATAATTTGTTACAGAAACGTTCGAATCTCCTGTAGCCGTCTTCTTCCTAATTAATTCATGCCGTGGAACTCTTCATAACAAATCAAAGTTCAATTTCAGTTCGCCTTTAGCATTCCCATTTAGTGTCATATCTTAATTAAATAATCTGCATATTTTCAGTTTTATCAGATCAATTAGTCTCAGTTATAAAGCACAAAGGAATCCATAAATATCTCCGATATAGGCGATTAATTTAATTGTTCCAAAGACAATTGATTCTGTTATTAATTAGATTAAGCACATAGGGTGGAATTTATTTATGACCAGTCGATAATTGATAATTTTACTTATATATCTGATTGAGAAGTCTGCTTAAATTAGATATAACTATACAGTATTCTTTTATGCGCATGGTAACGACATATCGGATGAAGCGTTTTTTGGGGTTATAACATTATCAAATAATATGAGGTAACGGTTGAAGTTGCTGTCCTCGCTTCCCTTTGATGACTGTTTCTTCAACGTTTTTTTATTGCCCGGCCGCCGGAGGATAAAATCTTGTCGAAGACACTCGGAACCCCCGATCCCAGTTAATGTTGAATTTCTATGAACCAAAAACGTCCATTTGTACTGTAAGTGTCCAGGAATTCCTTTAAAACTTGCAATCATCTAAAGATTGCATCAGCTACAGCCCCGGTATGCCATTGTATCACACCCTCGCCATGGGCATCTTAAATAGGTTAAACTTAAAAAATCATGGTAATCAGGAGCTAATCATGGGCAACTTATAAATAAAACTAATAAAAAATTCAAATAAACTAAATTAAAATTTCAACTGATGCTACTGCTGTATTTATGCAACCCGGTGCTGCGGAAATGTATGCGTAATTCTATCTGCTGGAGAAGAATTATCTGCCTGTTTGTAGACTGAGCCCCAGCAGCGGGTTCAATTGCTCTTGTTGGTTTGAAAACCGTTTTCGTGTTGTTCTTTTGAACTTTTTATGTGCTTTCCTTGCAAGAAGAACTACAAAACAAAAAATAAATCATTAGTAAACAGTTTGAATTCGCAAACATCTATAATATTATTCTGTCCATTATTTAGCTGGTTTGAATCGGATGTTGTCATGCAAAGTGTAGTACGTTTCAATTGCTGATTAGCTCTATTGAGCATATATAATCCTCTTATTTGCTTTCTTAGTCAGGTAATTTGACTGCAGCTATACCATTAATTAATTTCACTAAAGAGTATATTTGCGTGCATATTGGATGCACGCAAATCGCTATCGCACTGGAATTAAGCAGTGATTAGGATGCTTTTGTGCTCAATATACTTCGACCGTATCTGGCATTAAAAAGTAACTAAAAAACAACCAAAGCATAGATGCTAGAGATGAATTCCAATTTAGTAGTAGAAAAGCTGTTTTGTAATGTTATTATATTGTTAGATATAAATGTTAAAAAAGGGTGGCACCATAATGAAGAGCATTTCAAATTAAAATATACAGAGGTATTTAAACTCCTGAACGCTGTTACTTTAGGTGCAATTCGGAGTGCATTTTTTCTAAGTGACATTAATGTATCTTTTACAGGATCAGAATAATAATCTTTGACTCGAGTTGGGTAAGTCCTTTTCTCTCTGAGTAAATAACACAGTTAACAACCGAAATATAATTAAACACATTTTTAAGGCCTCCGCTCTTAGATAAAATTGTCCGTGTTGCAATTTGCGTTCTTACAACTTTGCACGTTGTCCTCTGAAGAATTTAATCATGCTGTGTAATAACGATACCACAATAGACACGAACCTTAAACTTTCAGAAAATAACGCGCGAAGCCGTAGGGCATGTGTCCATTTATGATTTTTTGCCACAAAAGCACCAAAAAACATGCTGCAGTAGTCAAAGATTCTTCAATTAACATCACTTCTATTTAAATTTCCTTGATAAAGTATAACCATGAGAATTTTTGTGAAGGTTTTGACAAGCTATGAAAGTTTCAATTTGCTTTTTTTGCGCTTGCACATTTTTAGTCGACGAGGAAAACAACGATTTTCATATAAGGAATCCGAAATCCTAGCAGTTCCAACTGATCGATCTGTTGATTTAATCGCCAAACTATTTCACTGTAGGAAATTAAATTTTTCATTTCGTGTACCCGAGTTCAACTCACGCCAAAAAAACCTAACTTTAATTATGATGATTTAACAATAAGACCAAACGCACCGATTTAATGCAAACCACGAGTGCAAACAGTAACTTATGGCTGAGTGATGGTCCATTGATAATCTATCACGTATAGGTTTACAGCTTATAGAGTTTAGGTGCCGGATCGAGGCTACTTTCAATTAGCTGAGCTAAACTCCACTCCGGACACTCCACAAAAGCAGAACCGAGGAAAGTTGGTCATTTATTAATAAGCAACGATGTTTGTAAACTTTGTGTTTACAGTGCAATTTCACAGAAGCTTTTGAAAGCCTTATACACTTTCACGTTTAGAAAATGCGTCAGATAAAATTGAAGCTTACACTATTTTGGAAGATTCTGCTCCGAAAAATTATTTAATGTGTTTGCTTTAGTAATCTGTTAGAATAAGTCTACTGCGAGCGTTGATGATGAAAAGTTCCAATGCGTTGCAAAGTTGCTATATTAACCTCATGCAATTACTTGCTTCTCACAATCGTCAGAAACGTTCAGCCAAAATTGGCCAGTTGCTTATCTGAATATCTATAACAATATTTTCGTATGAATTGGCGACATGCCTCATAGCAATAATTTGTATATAACAATTATATCAAAATACTCTTCTCTGCTATGTTCATGTAAAATCAATGAAAGCTTCCACATTGTTGTAAATGAATATTATAAAATTAGTACTTGGTGCAGAAATCGCTAGACTCTTCCAGTTCCTCAAATCATTTAATTGTATATAGGAAGTTTAAAAAACAGAGTTACCTTGAGCTATAAAAACACCCTGTATTACACAAAAACTCAACAATAATGCTCCTTATAAACTGTTTAACAATTTAAAATTTACACAAACTGATGGCGCTGTTGTCTCGTCGAAACGTACGTAATGAAATAAACGATATTAAAATTTTTTACTTCACACTTTGACTGATACCCAGGATAAGAATATAATGTAACCTAAAGATAAGAATATAATAACAATTACACGCAATCAGGAAAATATATAAGAATTAAAATTATATGCAATTTTGGATGATGGCGTTTTACCAAAAAATTTTAAAGTTTTCCGAAATGTCATCAATAAGAATAATAAGAATAATTTAGAATTTCCTAGTTTTTGTTTAGAGCTCGGCAGAAATGTCAATTTATCTGCATATCTACCAACCGATACCTTATCGTGTTTTCTACAACATTATTTTCACAGTATTGCCCTTCTGTTGCACACAATAGTTGCACATGCGGTGTTTCTTCAATCTATCAGAACTTGAGCAAAGTATCATTTGAAGTGTAGATTTCATCTTCTTAAACGAAATTGTACACTGTCGTTGATGTCTTCACTGAGTTTGCCTTAACAACTTTTTCCTGCTTCTAATATTTTGTATAATAAATTAGCTCCAATGAGAACACCCACATTCTTTCGTTTGTTGAATCTTTTCTGAGCTTTATTTTTTTTATCTGCTAAAGTATAAACTTTTATTTGCTAATTTTATTTTTCCGATTATATTGACCAATCCTTAGGAAAATCTAACTAACGGCAAATTTGCAGTAATCATCACGTCATAGTAGAAAAGTCAATTTTGTTTTTAAAGGCTTTTTTCAAGACGTTGCATTGACTTTATTATTAAATTAAATGTTTGTATTAAATTTTGTTAATTAAGATAGTATAAAAGCAATACGCTCTAAAACAAATAGATTTAATTATTTTGATATACGAACGCAATTTATAAGACAAATTTCTAACTAGCGGGTGAGCACACGAAAAAGCGATCTACATGAATTTCAAATATTGGACAGTTTTTATTAGGATACACTCACGTCTCTTCAAACAATAAAAAGTTTGAACAAAAATTAGGTTATATCAGTTTTGACTAGTAATGCCAAATATTTTAACAATTTCATAATTCAAAGTTTTATAATACTTAATATCAGTTTCGACGAGACAGATTATTTTTTCACGCAGAAACCTTTTCGATGTTTATTACATTTTTTTTTAAATTTTGAGTACCTGCATTAATTTAATGCATCTTTCTCGCCTTATTTGCCATGGATTTGCTTTCATAATGAATACTTCAAGTGTTTCTGTTCGCTAATATAAGATCGTAAATATTCTGACCAGTTCCACCTCTCCAGCCTTAGGTTGTAACTGAGCCACATGTATTAAAGTAACCTGCAGTTTTTTTTCAGCATGTAACTAAAATATTCAAATTCTGCAGTTTAGGAATCGATACTTATATGAGTTAGTAAATACCCTTCAGGGGAACGATAATTGCAATAATTATCTTGATTAATTGAATCTAAATGTACCTATATATAGTATTAAATATAATTCCATTTAAATCGTAATTTTAAACTAGCTTATTTTTTGTTACAGGTTTTTGATTGCCGATATGTTACAACCACAAGCGGCATGTTTGAGGCATTGTGCAACCACATAAAGTACAGTACAAATAAAGGCAATATTCGGTAAGTTGTTACACTGAAGTCTTAACTTATAAAATAGGAAAATGTACATGTATTTTTACATTTTTTCATACTGTGTACTTTTAAAATTTAGACTTACAATCGAGAAAGTTTTATATGAAAATAATTTTTAGTTGGAAATACTTTAATCGATTTGTAAGCTTCCCTTTTAATAAAAGTTACGCAGTCAGGCACTGGAACTGAAAACGTAATATTATTTTCGCATGTTCAAAGGATAATCAGCAAATATTCCTTCAAATTACCTATCGTCTGGGTTATCTCGTTAGCCGAAAATATAAAACCATCTGAAAAAGTACGAGATACATTTAAAACTTTTTTAATTATTGAGTGGGTTTTAGAAAAACTCGTTTGCCCGGCAAAAAACTGCAAAATTAATCCGTCCATGTAGTGAAGGACAAATCCATTTATAATACGAAAAGTTTCAGACCATTATGAAAACTTTTTTCTTATCTAATGTACCTATTTTATTTAATGCCACACCTACGCAGTTTATGTGCGTAGACAAATCCTCATCTTGTTTATGTCCACAAAATAAATAACGCGACTATTTTTCTTAATTGCCATCCAATAAAGGTAATTTCATTTCAAATCCTTTAATTACTTTCACTTAGCTGGTCTAATTTCGGACTAAACTAAATGAAACAGCATCTGATGCGAATAAATAAAAGCAGAACCCCATCGTGCGGGCTTTTAACGCGCTTATTAGACACGATGTTTATGTAACAAGTAAATCTTACCAATTCTTTCAAGTAATCACATTTTGGAAGGACGTTTTTCTGCTTATTTAATTTGAATTTACCCAGCATCCGTCTAGACTGCCTTACTTCTAGCTAAAACGTTGAAATCCGATTTTAAATGATTAAAGTTTTCTCGGTTGACCAGAACATGAAAAATGCATCACTTTCAACATCGTTGAATTAATAGAAAAAACAAAATGAAATTGATCAATAAAATTTCACAAAGGTTATGGCAAACGAAATTTCCGTTATATTACAACCTCTTCTGACTAAACTGCATGTATAATATGAATGATGGGACCGACTGGTTATATCTCCAGCTCTTCGTTAAGAATATTGAATTTGCAAACGACGCTTATTCGATTTACAGTTTGATATGCTCCAATCCGATGCAAACTTTCTGCTATGAGATTAAAGTCGTAAATCTCGAATCTTCGAACTGCACGTATCCGCCGAGTTCCATCTCATAAACTTATACTTAATTACAAAACAAACACCAATTTGCTACACCAAATGTGTACCAACCTTCTAATCGTTAAGGACCGAATCTAAATTTCACCTTATCGACTGCCGCAGGGATGCAGCTTTCTGTAAAATTCCTGCAGGGGAAAACTTGACTGCCTATAAATTAAGCCGAGTTTAGGTAATTTCTTTAAATTGTTCCTAATAAAAAGACGGCGGTTGCGACTTTATAGCGACTTTGTAATATTATTGTGGCAATTACATGCATTTAATTGCATAACTATTTAAACCAATTTGAAGAAAAGTTCAATTAATTGAAAGGCAGTCTATTTAGTCTCTTTACTGAATTTTAAACCTTTCAAACTAAGCAATAGCGTCGAGTAGCACTAGTACAGTTCGAATTCAACCTGTGCTACTTCGCGTTCATTTTTAAATATTTTTAACCATTCCGCATCCGAAGTTTTTTGTAAATACGTAAACCACATTTTCTTCGCCTGTTCTCAATGTATGTTAGGCGAAAACATTTCAATCCAGTTTGGCGTCTGTTGGAATAAAAATTAATCATTTATTAAACGCCAGCTCATAAATCAAAGGTTGTACATTTGAATGCAAACGGTATTTTTCAAACAAAACATTTCATAGTTTATTTTTCACACAATGTATTTGCTTTACCCAAGAATTCACGTCTCGAATGAAATCTCATAATCGACAAGCACGCTAATCTTTAGACAGGCTTGTTGTGCGCCTTTAAATTGTCCCCGCATCCATGATGATATTGCAGTGTACATCGTGAGTTTTTCTCACTTTCAGTGCTTAAGTGAGAAAAACTCACGATATTTAGATATTATTTTCCTTCGATCGAATCATTTGAAATTGTTTTTATGCGATTTTCTAGTTAAGTTTCTGTGTCTGGTTTTATCATGGGAAATCAATGCAGTGTCATCTGCATATTGCAGAATATTTAATATATAATTTTGTCTTGTTCTTGTAGATAGCGATTATATATGTTACGTAGTTCTCTCACAATGTGTATTGGGTTCTTTGATATGTGAACTTTAGGTAGCTCATAGAGTAGGCATGACTAGGTACTCAGTGAATTTTTAGGAGTTGGCACAGTGTTGCGGAAATTGCTTGTTGCGCCAACTCAACACACTGGCACAATAACTCACCGGTGGATTTGCAAGAAAAATAATCCATTGAACTTCAGATGCTTATTGAAAAACTCAAATTAGTTCAAGCTAAAAGATTTCTAGATTAGAAATTATACTTACCAGCTCTGCAAGCTGGCGTCCCATCCTCCATTTTCTACGCATCAATCCTTGAAAAGTTCACGATACTTTCACAACCTACCACACTTGCCATAACGGCCACAATGATTCTATATATGGTATCTAAGAACGCGATTTACACGATTAACGATCAATTTCGACCACTGTCGATAGAAAATTGAATATACATACGCCTTTTGCAAGAAAAATACACCGTAGTACTGATAAACATAAATAAACATGATTATTTAATTTATTGCATGTTAGCCTTTTCGAGGATTCATTCTTTGCTTGGCAGTTCGATTTTTGTCTGTTTTTTATTGTTTATTTTTGACATTTTTGTAGAAAGTACCTGGTCGCATTGAAATGTGTCTAAAGGCAAATTTCACGTTCCAACTTAACGAAAGTCAACAACAACTAAACGAAAAACGCTCCAAGCGCCCATCTTTCACTAATTTAATTTTAAATTTAGAGCCACTTATATTTGCCTGAATTTCAGTAAGCTGTAGTGATTAATGCACAACGCCAAAACTAAAATAAATAACTGAATTAATTAACTTTTTCAAAAAATATTGACTATACCAAAAAACTGCGAAGAAATAATTTAAAAATGAAACGAAATTTCAACTATTTAAAAATTTGCTTGAAAGGAAAAAAGTTCTGATTTTAAGAATTATACCGCCACAAGCGCAATTTGAAGTGCGCAGTGAGGCGCGAGAGTTATAACTCATCAAGTCGCAACTCAAAACAATCTTACCCAGGCCTACTATAGAGTAGTTTTTATTTGTTTAGATATTGTATACAATAATACCATATCAAAAGTCTTGTCCCTTGAGGGACATCTGTAAGTTGTTTTTAATAGTAAAAAATCTGTAATAGCTTAAAATGGAGAAACTAAAGTATTTGTTCCACTTGAATGCTGTAGTTCAGTATCGAATATCCAGTAGTTTGTTAAGAAGACAGAAGAGGCCGAAGTAAATATTTCTACAAACACTAATATTTAAGAAATAAGACATTTTACTAAGGGCAATGAGAATCATTGTGGTCTGTTACCAAATTAGGTATTTACGTTATTGTTATTACTAAATTTAAATGTTCTAAGTCGTCGAAATTATCTATTGATTGATTAACTACATTGGAAATGTTTGGAAATCAAATTCTTAATGTGGTTTTCCATTAAAACTTTTTAAAGAAAAATAACCAAACAACACACACTTAGTCGACACGCAAAAATCTAATTTACCCGCAGTTTTTTCATTACCAAAATCCAACTTTACCAACTTTTGCGCAATTTGCAGCACTATCAGAATACATTAATGTCTACAAAAAGAAGTTTTCAGTCATGTATGGCATGCAGAAGAAAATTTTTCCTAATCGAAACTTGTGTAAATCCCATTATTTTGATTCCTCATTACTTAAGGACCGTGCTGTACAAACTGAATCAATGCTTCGTGAGGCGGACATTAACTTTTCATAAATATGTTTTTCGTTTTCGGAAAACTTTGAAATATGCTGGTTGCATATTTGTTTCTCAATTATTACATTAGTCAAACGATATGCCAATTCCACACTAATACGATTGCTTTCAAAAGATATCCACTAACATAGCTGAATATATTTGCTGCATTATGTTTATGCATCTATATCTTTCTGTCGAATATTTCTCTTGATTGAATATTTACCCTTATGCTAGACCTGAATCTTTTTTTCTATTTGCGCAATATTAATGCTGAAAAAATAATATTTCCATGAATGTAAGTCAGCAGCAGAACTGATATTGCGTGCATTTTGTTGTCTTATGTTTCCACACAAGAGCAGGATTTTCGATTTCAAAAATGTTATTTGCAATAATTGGTTTATAGAACACTTGCGTATTGTTGAAGTAATAAAATAAATTAAAAACTCATATCGACATTTCGTAACTAAACATCCCCCAAGCAGCATAGTTTCTTAGAGAAAGAAGTAATTGATTGCATTGTCTTAATACCTTAGCAAACAGACCATGCTGACATAACTAAAACTTGATCTATCGACATAAAAATAATTTAGTTTGGTTTATATGGTAAAGTAATAGACAGTAATTTTAATGGTTTTCAAAATAGCCACTTGCGAAATACAAAAAAAACATCAAGAAGTTATTCGTAGAAGGTCAGGGTTGTTTTTCCGATAATTGTACAKAACTCGCTTCTCGTCTTCTAACCTTCAAAAAATGCATACTTATTCAGCACTARCAAAGGCATATTTTTACAGATCTTCATTTAAATGAAATAATTCAAAACAGCAAAAAATCTGCTTTTCGTAATTTTGYCGRAAAATTTGAGATTATCTCGAAAAGTGTTAGATACTAAAGTTTTAGATTTCTTTGCTATCTACAGCTCCGCCAACGTTTTTCGCTTGGACCCCTAAACTGCATCCCCATTTCATCTATTCCATTGGATGTTTAGAGTTGAAAAATTATAACTTTAATGGTGTAGCCAATAGAAAACTTTTTCATTGACATTGGTGTAAAAGAATA